GACTCAAATTGCATTTTGCTATTGTATATGCATATAATTATTCATTTATCATCCAGAACGGAAAAGCAAATTTATTTGAGAACTATATATATGTTGTTCTGTAGGTCAATATGCCTATTCATTCAACAAGCTTATTTGAATACTTGCTCTATGTCAAATTCTATGCTAGGTGCTTAGATTCCATGATATGTAAGACACAGCATGAGCCTTCAATGAAATCCTCATAGAGTAGAGACAAGGTAGGGTAAGAGAGGGAGAAAAAGAGATGGCTGTCCCTGAGCAGATCACAAAAGACTTCTGGAGGAAGAGCGTCTAAGCTGAAATTTAGAGATGAATATGAATTTGCCAGGCAGACAAAGTGGAGATAGACAGGCAGATGGGAACCACCTGAGCCAAAGCATGGAGATGTGAAGTGCAGAGTAAGTTTAGAGAACAGTGAGCAGCTAGCTATTACTGGAGTCCACATTCTGCGGGAGTTCGTGCCAGGAAATGACAGTGATGCCTCTGGGTGTGTGAGGGTTTAGTTATTGTTCCATTTACTCAACAAATGTTTACTGAGCTCTTACCAAACACAGGGATTAGGACCAGGAGCTAGGAGCTTAGGGTAAAGGAAGAGATAAGACACGAATCTGTAAAACTGCCTTATAAAGTAAGATGCTTTCCAGGAGGGAGGACAACATCAGAGGAGCATTTCATTCATTCGCGTTCATCAATGGCAGTGGACTGAGGACTAAATGAGCACTCGCCAACGCAGATGATGATAAGACGTGTTTCTTGCAGTGAAGGAGCTAACAGCCCAGTGGAGTAAACAGACACATAAATAGACATTCAATAATCAACATAATAGCATTTATTGGCAGCTTACTAACTTCCAGACCCTGATCTAAGTGGTTTATATTGATTAACCTTGTCCATCTTCACATAATAAGTAGGTATGATTATTGTCTACATTTCACAAATGGCAAAGTCAGCTAGAGAGGTTATTAACTTGCTCAATCACAGCTAAGATTAAAATCCAGGCAATTTGACTCCACATTTTTAACCCTCAGTGCAGAGAACTATAGAAGCACAGAAGAGAAACACATAAGCCAGCCTAGAGGAGGCTGGGAAGACTAATCCTTCCACCGCACTAGCAGTTATGGCCTCTCTTGAGGTCCCCAGGGAATATAGAGATGGCTTACAGAATCTTTGGAAACTACCAAGCTCATGATACTTACACAACTCTAGATGTGTAACATTTAGAGTTGAAGCTCAAAAGGGTAAACTTTTTCCCCAACATTCAACTAGGTTACATTTCTCATTCAAATTATGGCAATTTTTCCAGTCCCCTCCAACGCCATAAATAGCAAATCTCATTGTCTGCTTCTAGTGTCTTTATGAAGAGAAATATAAATCTGATGGGGAAGCTTCTAGTATTTCCTTTCAGGAGCCTTCTCGTGGGCTCTCAGCATTTTGTGTTATCTAAAACCTCTTGAGTAGCACTGTGAAAATTCCTGGCTGGATTTGTATCCTGCTAATTCATTTTGTTTCATTCTCAATGTCGTGTATCCAAAATGATGAAACTAGAATTATATTTCTCATTCAAATTACTGTAACTTTTCCAACTCTCACCTAATTTAGCCGCCTCCATCCTCATAACCACCGTGGACGTTGGGTTGGCAAGTACCAAAAAGGGGAGTATTGTAAAAAGTTGCAACTCTAGTGATATTATGAAACTTCACCATAAATAGGTAATGAAAAAGCCACAGGAGTGCAGAATGCTCAAGTTGACCTCATTCTTGGAGAAGGAAGTCCAGGATGGGGAATCTCTATCAGTTAGGATAGCATTTGTCTGCATGTAACAGAACCTGACTAGAATGACCTAAGCAAATAAAGGGTGTTTTTCTTGTAACATAACTAGAGCCCAGGCCAGGGCAGATGTCAGCAACCTGCTGGGCTGCTTCTGTTTTCCTGTTCTGCTGTTATCTTTGCAAGATTACTGGTATACTTTCAGGTATCAAGCCATATTTCAGACAACAAGAAGGGCAAAGAGCAAAAGGTAAAAGGAAGAAGCTAGCCAACCCTGTCCTCTTTAAAAAAGTTTTCCTAGAAGCCACACCCTGCAGCTCCTGTTTAAAGATTTTATTTATATTTATTTTTCCCCCAAAGCCCCAGTAGATAGTTGTGTGTCATAGCTGCACATCCTTCTAGTTGCTGCATGTGGGACGCGGCCTCAGCATGGCCGGAGAAGCAGCGCGCCAGTGGGAGCCCGGGATCCGAACTCGGGTCGCCAGCAGTGGAGCGCGCTCACTTAACCACCAAGCCACGGGGCCGGCCCTGCAGCTCCTGTTTAAATCTCATTGACCAGGTTTGGATCACATGGCCTCCATGAGCTGCAAGGGAGTCAGAGCAATGCCATGTATTAACTCAGCACGTGCCCCACCCCCAACAAAGCAAAGAAAAATGGAGAGCATGCACATTGGATTGGCAGCTAGCAGTGTCTGCAACGTTACCCTAAAGTTTTCCAATAAAAAGAGAGAGAGAGAAGAGCAGAAAAAGGGCAATCAAAACAGATTTCAAAACCTCAGGGAATACAGCTAATTAAATAAATATCAGCCAAATTGTATGTATTTCGCTTTTAAGTCAATTAGATAACCCATGGCCCTAAATCTCCTGGGATGAGTAGGAGTTAGACAGGTTTGGAGAAGGTAGAGAGAGGGCAAAGCATTCCCAGCCAAGGCACTGAAGTGTGAGACACTTTGTGTGGGAAATGACGATCTATTCCCTGTTTCCAGAGAATAAATTGCAAAGTAAGGAGTATCAGGACAGTAAATGGGCCAGATCACGGAACGTTTGTGCATATGCTTTAAAAATGTCTTTATCTGGTACAAGATGAAGACCACTGAAGTGTCTGAAGCCAGGAGGCACTAGGTCAGGCTTACATTTTGGATAATTCACATTTAGTGACTGGGTGTAGGATGGAATCAAGAAGATAAAGCTAAAGGTGAAGAAATAAGTTGAGGCAACTGTGTTAAGACAGATAGAAAATGCCGAGGGCCTGATCTAGTGAGGCTGCAGAGCAGTGCACAAATATGAGGAATTACTTCTTCGAGCATCAGGGAAGACGTCTTGGAGGAAGCAGCCTTTTATGGCTGAAAATTCACTTTGTTTTATGCCTACAGCATCTATCTGCAAAGTCTGAGGCAGACCTATTTCATATGTTTAGTAGGAATTTATGGGACATAGGTTATTCACTAATTAGAATTCCCGGACAACTTGCCCTACTATTCGTAAGTAGAATGATCTGGAAATGTTTTTAGCAGAAGGCTGAGAACTTGAAATAATCCTTAAAATCTTAAAATTCATTTAAATCTTAAAATCTAAATAAAAAGGCCTATACCAAAATACTTTTACCCTCAAAATTATTTGTTCTCCAACTCTGGTGAGTGTCTAGGGAGCTGGTAAAACTGCAGACACAGATGCCCACCTTCAGACCTACTGGATCAGAATCCCAAGGGTGGGACTTGAGGATGGGTATTACAATAAATTCCACAGGATATTCTAATATACACCAGGCTTTGGTCAACAGCATAATAGGCCTGACGGGGCATGACCAGGACCCCAGCGTCAGACGTATTAACAAGAAAGAGGGCATGAGATGCAAGAATGTACAATTGTGAGGCAAGAGATGAAAGTGCAAATGGAAAGGCCATCACTCATGCAGAAGCTCAGAAGTGTGGAACTTGGCTAGAAAGCATGGAGCACCGAAGCAGTAGGCAGGTGGGAAAGTGGAAGGAGCAGAAGGGTTGGGCTGGGGAGACTAACAGGGCTCTGGGCACGGCCTTTCTGTGGGGAGAGGGGGCTGCATGGCAATGTACCAAATCATAATATCCAGAGCGGTATGACAGACCCAGACTCTCAACTTTCAAGGCAACTCTGTAGCTATGCTTTTGTTGGTAAATTGAGACAAAATTCCTTTGTGTATAAAGTAACCTATATGCTAAGCTATTTGTTGGTAAAAAGAGAATTTAGAGATTCCACTGGTCAATAAGTAGAAGGAAGTGCTTCTCTCATCCCTCAGAACAGGCCAAAGAAATATCTGAACAGCTCTGATGGGGAAGCTATGAAAACCCCTATATACAGTCTTGCACTACATAATGACGTTTCGGTCAACGACAGACCGATGGTGGTCCCATAAGATTAGTACGATATAGCCCGGGTGTCTGGTAGGCTATACCATCTAGGTTTGTGTAAGGGCACTCTGTGATGTTCGCACAATGACAAAATCGCCTAGTGACACATTTCTCAGAACATGTCCCCGTCATTAAGCGACTTGTGACTGTAATTTGATGCTCTTAGGCAGGTTCCCAGGGTGGCAGATCCCTCATCTCTTTTGTTCCTTAGAGATCGCTGAGCAAACGCCCACTGGCTTTGGAGCTGCTCCCCGCTGTGTCTGGCATGTCAACCAGTTTTTTTGTGAACGTCCAACAGACAGGAAGTTTTATGAAAGTTCCATGAAGAAGGTAGATAAGGCTGTTTGCTGAGCCTTTCCAACAACAGTTCTCATTTTTCTCTGGGAAAAATAGAAATACTGACGTTAAACAACCAGCCTCGATCTCTAAGGGTGCTGGTGGCCATATCATGCGTCCTGTTCCCTGTGCAGCCGTGTGCATAATTTGCAAATACTCTTGTGTTTGATGGCTTTTTCCTGGTGTCCTTCTGAGTCAGAACACTTCGGGTATGTGTTGTGTTGACATTTCCAGGCGAGCTCTTCTGCTGATTAGTCAAAATCATAAATGGTCAATAAGGCTCAAAAAGGTGTCGAGTAAATGTGTGAGGGGTGTGTGTCATCACAGCCCTCCCCTGTCTGGAGCCTGGAGTGGCTGCCAAATCCTTCGTAAGAAAGCAGGTATTAGTCAGACTGCTAGCAGTCACTTCCGAATGCCCAGAGGTGGGCTGAATGATGACCTTGCCTGCATGCCAGCTCTAAGCTCTCTCCTTCCTTCTCTTGAGCACAGGTTCTATGAGCACAGGCGGAGTTCTGTAGTGCTCAACTTACCTGGACTGGAGGTGTTCCCCGGGGACCTTCTGGTGTCAGATGGAGCTGCTGATTACCTGTGCCACCCACTTCTGCTGCTGAATTCAGGTCTCATTCATTCAGCATACTTATATTACATGCCTACTATGGACAGATATTATATGAGTAGGGGAGATTTTAAAATATTTAATGACTAGTGGAACATGTGCACTGACAAGTTAAAACAGATGTCTCACCAATTAGGACAGGCATCAGCCATGAATTACCGGAACCAGCTGAATACCACTCTTGGTATTGGGCATTCCACTTACAGAGATGGATAAGGTATGGGCCTTCCCTTAAAAAGTCTTCTTGTCAAAGAATTTACCCTAGGTCTGGGCCCTGGAACAGGTACACCAGTGGCGGTCACCATCTTGGAGCAGAAGGCTCCCTCTAGGCTGGTGGGCAGCTTCCCTATCATTGCTGTAAGGTCACCCTCGCCCTGCTCCTGGCCTTCAGCCTTACACTGGTATCTTCCAAGCAGGGTGGCACCATGTGGAGGCAGAGGTCCTGGTGACAGCAGAATTCTGCTAGAGCAGATTAGAGAGGCAACATTAGGGGTACATCTTCTGCATTTGGAACTCAGGTGTGAAAGAAAAGAGCAGTTGTGGTGTTCAGGGCACATTCCCCATGATTCTGAGGATAGCCTTTGAGAGCTAAAAGGAGGGTTAAAGCTTATCCATCCTGGTAGTTTTCAAACTGATTTTGTTCTTAGCAGAGCCCTTTTTACAAAAGAATACTTACTTGGAAATCCAATGTATAAAACAGCTCCACGTAGAGTTGCACTGCTTGAAAATGCAGTGGATCCCCAAGACTCACCTCCAAGGCATCCCCAGAAGCCCAGGACACCTGGCCACAGTTGGAAAACCACCCAGCTCATCCCTCATTCACGTGAAGTATGTGCAAAGTGAGACCCAGAAAAAAGAAGTGACCTAGCCATGGGGTTGACTGGCTTGTGTCAGAGGAATGGAATCTAGGCTCCTTACTTCTAGCCCTGTGCCCTCTCCACCAGCCTGTATCGACACCCACTGTATGGGGCACTGTAGTCTTCCGTATGGAACCCAGAAGCCATCGGTGAATAAATCCTAACTGTGTAGCTGCTCACTCTTTATAGGTCCCTTTCACATCTACTGTCTTCTATGACACAACAATCCAAATGAACATCTACTTTCTCATCTGATACAATCATCCAAATGAATGAAACAAGAGGGCTTAAGTCATCTACTCAAAGACAGGCCCCTGGAAATTAGAGCTAGTTCTAAACACAGCGTAACCTTAAGAGAGGTTAGTACACAGTTCATGGTGTTTCATGAATACTCTAAACTGGTTAACACCAATAGCAGTGTTTCCCAAAGGCTGGTCCCAGACCAGCAACTTTAGCATTACCTGGGAAATGGTCAGAAATGCAGATTTTGGGGTCCCACCCCAGGCCTTCTGAATTAGAAACTTTTGGGGTGGGGCATAGCAATGTGTTTTTAATGAGCCCTCCAGGTGATTCTGATGCTGGCTAAAGTTTTAGAACCACCGTGCTAAGGAACAAGGTCATAATTGCTGCATGATGCTTCTAAATCAACTGGTTGTTCTTTGTTAAGTTGTATGTCTAGCATCACGGTAGATACCACATGGTAAAAGCTATGCAACATTCTCCACCATACCCCTCCATGCCCTCTTCTCAAGAAGCTTGGAATAGAGTTCTCATGTCCTAGAATTGTGGTCTAATGCAGTGCTTCTCAAGCTTTGATGTGCATTTGAGTCACCTAGAAATATTGTTGCAATAGAGATTCTGATTCATCAAAACTTAATATATACTACAGATAATAAAAGATTGTGGATTCAATGAAGAGTCATTTAAATCTTCTTCTGAATAGTTGTGAAGCTTTCCCGAGGCCCTAAAATTATCCCCAAAGTTAGAAAAGCAGAGGAGAGAAATTTGCTAAGACCAGATTGTTGCAGTTCAAGTTGGGCATAATAATTTACCAGCAGGCATTTGAGGGTTAAGAGTGGTAAAGCTGATTTGTCCCTGAGGGAGATTCCACCTAATCTTCCCTTTCAAAAGATCGATAAGGTGGTGAGAATGAGTGAGATAATCAGTTGGACAGGGGCCTTCCATGGTTCCACTAGCAAAAGTCCCTCAGCACACCCTTTGCAGTAAATGCTGCTTGGGTCATTGATTCCATCTGATTAAACTATTGTGCAGCATCTCCTGAGGAACTTCATAGAAAGAGAGACAGGCCTGTAAGACATCCATTTTGTATATTGAGTCATCAGAACATCTCACCTAAACCTAAGAGACCATTCCCAGCTATTTCTGGGTAGCGTACAAATTGATGCAAATGACATAAAAATCAAGAGTCTAGAATCTAATCACCTTACTTCCTGATCATCAAAAGGATGCATTGTTGAGTGATGACTTCCTTCTCAACTCAAAGCAGCTCCTAAGGACTACTTGGATGGTGGCCAATAGCGACAATAAGCCCCCAACATAAAGACTAGTGACCTGTGTTGATGTCACCTATTTCAGGAGTCTGCCTTTAACCACGGGTGAGGATTAATTGATGAACTCTCCTAGTCTCAAATTGGGTCAGGCTATTGAAGTTGCATATGCTGGGATGGTTTTTGGTAGAACAGTGTGAAAATGAAGTCCTGTCAGCCCCAAAGTTCTATGACTTTCAGTCTTAAATGAATTACTCAACATCTTGATTATGCTTTCTCGATTTCCCCCCGAGTAATGGGGAGAAGGAAGCTGAACAATACTCTAGTAAGGAGACAGGACAATATCACCTAAAGGCAGCAACTGAACACCAGCCTTTAGGTTGCAACATCGCTTCATTCACTCATTTGCATACATATAAATATTTATTCTGTGCATTCTCAAGAGAAGGAGAATTAAAGTAGGATGAATTCTGTTTGACTCATTTGAAAAAGCAGGTTTTGTAAAGTCCTGCAATGATCTTTCACTAGTTACTCGAAGTACTAATCTATCTTCTTTCATTTCACCCACCAGAATCCAAAAAGCCAAGATGGCCTTTCTCCAAGAGAGGAGTGGTGAGTGTTGTGCATTGTCATTTTTGTTTTAATTAAGCTTCCTGTAGCTAGGAAGGTAAGAAACGACTGAAGAGCCTCTTCATCCCACTTCATCTGTGCAGGATGGCAGACCACACATGAAATTTAAATTATGTCATATCCATAGTAACGGCTACAGAACATGCCAAATGATGCCATTTTGTGCAGCAAAACAGTGCTAATTGCCAGTGGTTAATGAGCTCTGCAAAAAACAAAGCAATCCTAATATTGTGACGCTTTAGAACTCCACATTTATGACTGATACAGCTTAGGAAACAGCTCATTTGATGAAGTGAACTTGCCCAAGCGTATGCCCCAGTTTGCCGTCAGTGGCATGCGTATTGGGAACATTGAAAAATTAATGAGATATTACAGAAAGAGATTCCACAAATACACTTCTATTTCTGGGAAAGCCAATTGGAGTCCTCGTGTTTTTTAAAAATTCATTCTTGGTTCCATGAATTATTGAAGAGTTATAAATCGAAATCAGTGGTCCGTGATTCTTTACTGCCTAAGACAAGGGTTGACCACAGTCCAGCCTTTCCTTCATGCTGGGGACAGAGGGAAGGAGTGTTCCTGACCACAACCTGACTCCTCACTCTTGTTTTCTGGAGGAGGGGGAAGGACTGACTGTTTGTTCTTCCGACAATACTAGTTGCAATACCTGCACACCACAGCCAGCAGCAGCAGTAGGGCCTTATGGGTAGTTACTATGCCTTGTTCTGTTAAAAATCTGCCCAAGTGGCCTCTCCAATGAGTCTGTCATCAGTTGTTGACACCCACCATGGAGATTCTGCGGACACACACACATTGATATCTTTTAAGTACTGTAGCTAAATTAAAAGCTCTGAGGTTCCAACCCCAGCTGCTCCACTTACTGCTCTGTGACCTTGGCCAAATGAATTAACCTCCCTCAGCTTCAGGCCCTCCCCTATAAAAGGTGGATGGTAACAGTGCCAGCCTCATAGGGTGGTTGTGACAAGTAAATCAAATAACGCATCTGGAGCTTACCCCAGGGCTGGACGCATCTTAAACAACGAATATAGGCCATATTATTGGTAGTATCATTTGTAATTTGGGTTTTTGGAAAATCACTTGTTCTCATAATTGAGTATATGAGTGACTTTCACATTATTTTTCCAAGTGTAAAAAATTTGTATGAGTGTCTTAGTCAGCTCGAGATGCTATAACAAAATGCCACAAATTGGGTGGCTTAAACAGCCAATAGTTATTTCTCACAATTCTGGAGGCTGAGAAGTTCAAAATCACAGTGCCCTCGTGATTGGTTTCTGGTGAGAGCTCTCTTCCTGGCTTATAGACGGCCACCTTCTCTCTGTGTTTTCACCTGGTGGAGAGAGAGCTCTTGTGTCTCTTCCTCTTCTTATAAGGACACTAATCCCATCATGGGGCCCCCCTCATGACCTCTTCTAAACCTAATTACCTCCCAAAGCTCTCATCTCCAAACACCATCACACTGGGGAAGTGGGGTGGGCAGGGCTTTAACATATGAATTTTTGGTGGACAGAAGCATTCAGTCCATAGGGACACAGTCTAAACATTACAAGCTTCAAATTGTAAGCTATTAGTGAAATTATGACACCATTGTCACCATGGCTGTTGCTTATCAGTCATTCTCATTTTGCCTCTCTTCAGGGACATGATTTGACTCTTTTCCTGGCAGGATCTGAGACGGGGCCTACGGTACAGCCTTTCCTGGGCTCCTTACTCATTTAAGTGGAAGCATGGCCAGTTTCTAGGCAGGTCTGGGGTCTCAGGAGAAGGAGGGTCTTTCACCAACTCTCCTCCAGAGCAGGAAAGATCTAAGGGCCACCTGGGAGGTAGAATGTGCTTTCAGAAGGGAGGACTTACCTAAGGAAGGGTGTTCCTCCAAGTTGTTGTGAGTAATCTATTTCTTTCTCCCATAAAGAAGCAATTTGTCCCACGTATGTTGCGTGACTGTACTAAGAGGCCAAGATGTCCATTATCAGCTCACAATGGAGGTCAGACTGACATGTAAATTGGAAAAAAAAAATGTGCTAACTGGCTTGCACAATGTTGGAGGTGGGTAGGCAACGGTAGAGATACACAAAGACAGAATAATTAGTGGAATGACAAAGTGTTTCAGCAAAGTTCTCAGTAATGAAGGGAAATTCATTTCTTGAAGGCTCTTTTTCACAAGGAAACAATATCTGGTCCCCTTAAAATCAGTATGTCTACTTACTCCTTCATCCTTTTAGCCTTATTTATCAAGGAATTCATATCTATGTAAATGATAATCCACATCAATATAATAAACACACTACTACATTGCAATGTATGTTCCCAATCTGTTACAGATTTTTCCTTTACTTACCTTCCTTCCTTCTCTCCTTCCTTTCTTCCCAACCATCAATAACAATGTTACTAATAAAAGTAAGTACCTATATAATGCTTACCACATTATCAGGCACTGTTTCTATTTGCATATGTTCCATAGTTTATATATGTTAACTCATTAATTCTCACAACAACCCAACAAGGTAGGTAACATTATTGTTCCCATTTTGCAAATGGGGAAACTGAGGTTTAGACAGATTTAATAGCTTGCCTGAGGTCACATAGCTCATAAGTGGCAGAGTGGGGATTTGTCCCCAGCAGTCCCGGGCAGTCTGGCTCTGAGTCTGTTTTAGCCCTGACATTGAATTGCTCCTCCAGCTGTGGGGCTCCATAACCAGCCCCCGACACTCTTCCCTCCCTTGTCTCATCAGAGGTCTCACAGATCTCATCTGTCCTCACCAATTCAATGCCATCTCTTTGTCAACCACTCCAAAAAATGCATATATTCAGATATATCCATTTTACTCCAGTTCCATGTCACCAGTGCCTGCGCACATTTCCATTCCACCCACCTCTTAGTTATTAAGTTTGAGACCCCAGAGTTAACCTTGGCCTCTTACTTTTCTTCATCCTCCATGTCCTCTCAAATACCCTTCAAATGCTGCTCACTGTCTCTCCTAGCCAACGCCATCATAGTGGAAGCAACAAGGCTTCCAACAGTGGGTCCGTTACTCTGAAGAGTTAATGTGCCCTCTGGGAGGACTGTCCCCTCCCTTCTCACTGCTATATCCACCAAGCACTTTGGTCAGGAGGTTGGTCAGGCCCATGGAGAGCCACAGCGAGTGCCCTTCAAGATAGGGGGCTGGTGCTCACTTTCCCACAGCTCCAACGCTGCTTCCATTGTCTCAGTTTCTTTACTTCCCAACGGGCTGCTGACGTTTTTATGTCCACAACATGCAGTCACTATGGCTTCAGACATCAATAAAAGGCATATGTCCCAGTTGCTGTAGGAGGCCCCCAACTGGCTCCAAGATTATTTTGCGACTGTAGAAGCTAATGAGTCTCGAATAGGCTTCCTCTTTCAGTGCCATCACCCTACCAAAGAAACAGCCCTTTAGCACATTTTGAAGCCATTGCAGGGTCCCCTTTCAGAGACACAGGGAGCCGCCTACCCACAACAGCAGATAACCCGTGCCTTCTCTTGCTTAGTAACATAAATTTGAATAACTTCCACCAAACTGCTTAGATCCAAGGCAGCATCATGCACCCTGAGGCAACAGAACAAGTTAAAAAATTACTTGTGATAAACATTCACTTGAAATGCAGCCAAGTCGAGTTTAGAAAGCCTTACGCATTGTTATTTGATAGCTTCTTCCTGGTCTAGTTGGTAAAATGAACTCTTTAAGAGGGTAATTCATGATATTGCAACAGAATACTGAATGAGTCAAAAAAAAGGTCACAATATATTAAATTTAAAAAGCAGGTTACAAAAGGATGTGTAAATAGGACACCATTAAAAATTAATTATAAATACAATCAGAAAAAGGTTTTCAGTGGTTATGTGGGGGTAGAGATTATGAATAAATTTGATTTTCTTTGTGTTTTTCTTTGTTTCCCAAATTTTCTACAATAACCGTATATTACTTTGCAATCAGATTTTTTCCAACTAAAATTATAACAAAAATAAGTAGGTAGTTCCATTCCAGAGAAACTAAGAGTTTCTAGCATGTTCTGGTATTCGTTAGCAGAGAATTATCGTGTTGGGCAGTTCTATTAACACTCTGGGCTTTTCAGTTATCTGCTAAATGAGGGGTTGAACTAAGACATCTGAGGCACCTTCTGATGCTAAAGTCCTATGATCCAGTATTTGGAAAAGTTAGAACTTTATATATCACCCCAGAGGGTGGGCACTAGACTGCAGTCCGTCTATTTGCGATATGACCATTCTGAGCCTTGGGTGTTTTTTCATCAGTAAAATGAGATGTTTGGACTAGACACCCTCACCGGCCTCTGTCCTTTAGGTCTGACATTCTGTGGTCCCATGGGTCTGACTGTGGCTCAGAAATGGCTTGTCAACCATTAGCAGCTTATAGACAAAGTACACAGTCTGTTCTCACACATGTTAGAGAAGGAATGAATGAAAGGTGCTAAAGCTACCAAAGTCGTGTCCTTAAAGAATTCCTGTTTGAAAATTCTGTTTCTAACCATCTTTAAGCAGGGCAAAGACAAACACAAGCATGTGTCTGATCTGGAAAACTGCCTCTCCTCTGTGAAGATTACAGACTTCAGGGCCCATGAGTTTCACAGCCTTAAGGTATCTCACAAATTGTTTACTGTGTGGCGTGGCTTCTTTTTTTGTTTTAGTCATTATTTTAAATTGTCAGATTATTACCTTGTTCATAATAACAGCAAGGTGCAGGAGAGGATCCCAGGACTGGAAGGAACCAGGTCTGCTCTCTTGAACACACATTGAAACCTCAGGAAAGTCATTTTATTTAAACTCAGGTGACGGATATGAGAGCACTTTGTAGACCATGAAGTCTTGTACAAATGTTAATCATTGTTACTGTTATTCACTTCTCTGGGCCTCAATTTCCTCATTTGAAAAATAAGATGGTTTTAATAAGTCAATTTCTAAAGGCCTCTTTAAACTTTAAAACTCTTATTTCGTGATTCTTCATAGTTAATTTCAACAAGCTTTGCCAGGGGAACCTGGATTAGACTTCCCAGTTCTGGGTTTGGGGTTCTTTGAGGGTTTTTTTTTTTTGCAATAAACTGAAAAAGACTCATGAAATTCTCAAGTGTAATTCAAAACAACATTAATTTGAATTCCTTTTCATTTTAAATTAAAAATTATGTATGTCACACATTCCATGGGGAGGAATTGGCATCCCAAAACCACACAGAGAAAACTGTGGTTTGGGTAGCTTGAGGCCCCACTACCAAAAGGGATGCCCGCGGCTGCAGCAGGAAATCATGATTTTGGGAATGCTTGCTCCTGCTGCACTGTAAGTCAAAGGAAATAGTGAACAGGTCAACCCATCGAGGTTGAAATGCTTTGTTCCCTCTTTTCTTCCATGTACAGGATAAGACCTGGAATGAAGTCATGGAAACATATCAAAAACGTCCTACTGTTCAATTAGACTTGAGAAAGCAGCAAGAGGCCGTGTGGGAACTTTTCACAAGTGAATGCAGTTATTTCTTGGACCATTTATTAGTTCTTAAGATGGTAATGCTGGGCTTAATTTTCATTGTAGATGGAGAATATGAATTTGATTCTTTGGAGATTTGTTTTCGTCTTCCATGCTGAGAAAGGAAAGTTTGGGGGGTGGAGAATTCCCCTCCTTCAAGGATCTTAAGAAACTTTTATCTATTGTTTATCTGCTACTTGGTGGTCTCTTCCTTCTTTTCTTAAACACCACCTCTCAGGATTGGATGATATCTTCTAAGTAAACTAGTGCAGCTCACCAACTGAGGTCTGAATCTCTTCTGCCTTATTCTCACCCTGTGTCTACACAGCGCTCAAGTCAGGGAGCTCACAGTCACCCTCAAGGCAGCCCATTCCATCGTTGGTCAGCTCCCTCTTCTGTAGCTCTTGCTCCCCCATGAACAGTGCCAGAAGAATGCTTTCTATCAGCTGCAGGGCCACAGTCTCCAATTTCCCAGGGGAACCATCCACATGTAACACAGTGGGGTTGGATTACATGGTGTATTCATGATGTCTGCCATGTAGATGGTGCCCCTGAAGTTGTGCAGTGCTGCACCCTTGGTCTGGTGTGGCTCTGGGCAGAGACTTCCTTATACAAGAACCAGAGGGCAAGGGATGGGAAGGGAGCAACTGCCTTCTAAGACCACAGGGGAGGATGAAGCACAGTGCTCCCAAGGTTGCCTCTTCCCTAAGCACTTTTGAATCCTGGCTGCTCTCTTACACAGGAAAAAGCACTGTGTTGGGAGACCTGAGTTCAAGTCCTGGATCTGCCTCTGAATTGCCATGTGACCTTAGGAAAGTCTAGTCCTCCATTTCCCAAACCAGGGGTTCACAAACATTTTCTGTAAAGGTCCAGATAGGAAATATTTTAGGCTCTTCAGACCGTGTGGTCTTTATTGCAACTACTCAGCTGTTCCATTGCAGTGCAAAGGAAGCCATACATAATGTAAAGGAATGTGCATGGCTGTGTTAAAATAAAACATTATTTACAAAAACAGGTAGCAGGCCTGATTTATCCCACAGGCTGTCATTTGACAATTCCTGTCCTAAGCTATAAAAGAGAGACTACAATACCATCTCTGGCTGTCTCATAACATCTGATCATTGTGATGATCAGATTAGCTTTTTTGAAATCTATCAAGTGACATACAAATGTCAGTTATTATTTTCTTTAAGTAATTTTAAGTGTCAGTCACAGCACTAAGTACTTTACTAGCAAAATTTAAACTGAAAAGACATTCTGAGAAAATGGAAACTTAGAGAGTTTATCAGTTAGGATACAGAGAACTAGCTTAAATACTACAGGGTTTTATTGGCCCATGTGACTGTAAAATCCAGAGCTCTGGGAGAATTCAAGGTTGGTTTGATCAAGAGGCTCAAAATCAAGGACAAAATTTTTTTCCATCTCACATCCCTGCCTTCCAGGGCATCAACCTCATCCAATGGCTGGCTTGAGTTGTAGTCACAGAATGGCTGCTGTCCCTGAGCCCATAGAGGGAGAGAAAAAAAGAGAAAGAGAGAGAGAGAGAAGGAGAGAGAGAGAGACAAGATCTCTTTTCAGCATTCATAGCAGAAGTCTTGATTTTCTTTCTGATTGGACTGGCTTAAGTCACATGCCCACTCCTGAACCAACTACTCTGACAAGGAAGGAATGTGCTAATTGGCTTAAGCCAATCGAGGCCCACCCCTGGGAGTAAGGTCAGCTTGCCTCATGGCACATCAAGGCATGGGGAAGAGTTAATGCTGAGGTGAAAACCAGGATGATGTTAGGGAAGGGGAGCATTGAAGCTGGGTGGCAACCAATAGATGTTCACTGCAAAGCACTAACCCCTGAGATGTACTACCTCTTTTGCCCTAATAAATAGCACAGAACTTTCTGTCCCACTGTAAGCTGCACAACCTTTTCAAACTAGCATTTTCTGTTTAAAAAAAGACCAATTTGAGTTTATTTCTTTTCCAATGTCTCAGTGTATTGAGAGTATATATGTTTCTCCTGTTACACAATAAATATGAGTTTCCCAAAGTTGCTTGTAAATTGGAATTTTGTATCTCAAAGTAAAATAAATATACTGGCAGACCCAATATTTTTTAAAAATGGCAGCAGATTTTTTAAAAATTAATTTTAAATTTAAAAAATTTTTAAAATTTAAAAATGGCAAAAGCAAAGAATCTTATAGCAAAAAGGTTAAGTTTTTCTTCTAATTTTCTTCTAAATTTCCCCAATTTTATTCTAATTTTTACAATTATATGTTTTAAATGCTTAGATATTGACAGATTTCCAGACAATCAATACTATACAGATTTTGGGAAGCTCTAAGTCAGTGGTTCTCAAACGGTGGTCCCTAAACTAACAGTATCAAAATCACTTGGAAACTTGTCAGAAATCCTTGCTCTCTGACCCTATCAGAGACCTACTGAATCAGAAACTGGGGATGGGGCCCAGGAATCTGGTTTACCAAGGCCCCTAGGTAATTCTGATGCAAGTTCCAGAACCATTCACTACATGAATTAAATAATATGGAAATAGGAATTGCAGAGGGTTGGCAGTCCCAAGTCCAAGTCTTTTCACACCTAAAATTCATGAAATAATTGGTCCCTTCGAATGCTTCACTGTGTTTATACAAAGCATTCCTGTTTCAATAAATTAATCTCTCTTTAGTTTATAGAATGAGGGGCAAGCTATCTGTGAGGATTGTAGTTCTATCCTGACTTGCTGTAGAATAGTTCTCCTGTTACATGAAAGCATCAAATCAAGTAATAATAACATAAAGCCTCTCTTAATAGTTTCATTAACATTTAATGCACTTATCCAAATCTAAACATCTTACCAGTTTTCAGATATTAACTTATTAGTTCTCTATTTTTAATTTCATGAAAGTAAAGGTTATTTGGGTCTTTTGCAGAGGAAGCAATAAATGAGAACTCAGCATGAACGCTGTTTTGGTCTCAAGTTAGTGCTGTTGGCAAGAAGAGAAGCTTTGAGATTTCTTTGGCACTGGGAGGCAGAGAAAGCCCATTCGAACAGATTATGTTCAACAGGAATGTTAGGACTCATACAAGCAACAACGACTTCATACAGAAGAGCACACATCCCCATATGTTCTATGGAGCTTAAATGTCATCATTTGTATTTAGCAAAATTCTTAAACCTTGAAAATACTGATTTCTAAATTGTTTTGTAAAGTTATACCCAGGAGATTTATGTTTAGTGTTCTTGCAAAGGTCAACTTTTAAAACTAAAAAACGGAAAGTAATGTGCATTTATTTTTTTGAAGATCTTCATGAATACACTAAAATATCTACAAACTCATGAATATCTCCTGGATGTGGATTTATGGAGACTTTTTGCAAACCTGGAGGAGTTAAGTCAGGTGAGCCAAAGTAGGAAGATGCTAGTAGCCATGCTTTAAAATTCACCAGAGGATCATGAAAATTCACACTCGGTCTGTTCCTGTGGCTTGTATTCCATATTGGAATATGGAACATGGTTTATTCCATATTCCATCCCCGCATAATCTTATGATCAGGAGTTCAGGTTAATAAGAATGAAATTGAAACATCCATTGACATCTCTCCAAGAGACTGTAGATATTAGCCTTCAAAAACATTTTTCATTTTTCCGTGGCTGTTTAAGAAAGTAAACCTATTCCTAAGATCTCCATCATCTTCCTAAACATTTATTCTCAAATAAATGTCCTTTTTTCACAAATATTATAAATAAATAATATCTTTCCTCTAAAAAGGAAGAGAGGAGAGATACCAAAAAGAATAATTTGTAAGAAAAACTTACAAGAAAATATATCTTGGAGATTGGAGGAAAATAAATCTTTGAATTTTGCTAGGAGGTAAATTTGAAATGGAAAACATCTGTAAGAATGATACTTGAAGTTCATCAAATATTTATTCCTTACTCGTGGTTGTGCGCCCACTTTTGTGTTCTTTCTCTTTACCCCTAGACAAGCTTCAGTTTTGTGAACGGTCTTTTCGGCATCATCAAGGACTATGTTGACGCTTCTGAGATTTCACCATCAATAGATTTCATTTCCGTGCTCACGAAGGTAAAATTCTTCTGGGAGATCTCAGCTTCATGCAATAAATTCACACACCTTCTGGGACAGTTGTTTTATATCTACTTGATTTTTGTTGTTGTTCCTGGGAAAGTTCCACCAGCACCCTCCTACAAAGGAGCCATCCCTGTCTCCACCAACCAATGTTTTCAAAAATAACTTGCAGATTCTGTTTTCCCATTGTCACATCTCCTGTGTGGGTTTTATTAACACAAAAATCTGCATGCATGGGAAAGCCATTTCCAAGTCTGGTTTTTAAATGACTTCAATTTAAAGCAATATTCATGGCAATAGTTTGTGTAGGCTAATTACATGGTTCAGTTGTTCCTCTAACAAAAGTGCCAGTCTCTCAGAAAGGAGCAAAATAAACCTTCAAATCCATCAACACCCTTAATAAGACTTCTGTGTGTGAAAGAGGAGAAAAAAGGAAAAACTGTAGCCCTGGTTTGATAAATTCTATTTATTTCTGGAGCAGATATTTGGACCGCCTGCCCACTTTTTTTACTTTGAGCCTTTTAATCCAGTCCCTGTCTATTCTCATTTAGCAAGATTTGAATTCTCACAATCTGTTTGAAAAAAACATAGATTGAGATTTATTGAGCACTTACTAAATGCTTATGTGTGGGGCTGATACTCTGTACATAATAATGTGCAAAATTAGACACACTCCCTGCTTTTGGCAAATTTTCAGTCTATTGAGGGAGAAATTAACCCAATAATGACACTAATGATTATATAATCAAATTGAGATAAATGCTGGGGGTGAAAGAAACATAGATATGATGAAAGAAATCTTCTAGGTGGGGCAGATGGTGAGGTAGGTAGTTACAGAGAGGAAATTCTTCCTGGGTCAATGATGCTTAAAGTAAGATATGAAGGAGGAGGAGGATTTAACAAGGCGAAACAAGCCTTGGTATAAATTTGGTATAAAGTAGGGAGATCCTTCAGTGAACTTTGAAAACACATTTGAATAAGAAAACTTTGAAAAACAAGAGAAAGAATGTAAAGTGTTAGGAATTAGCTAAAATCTCAGGATCTCTCAATTCCATTAGAGTCAGAAAATTAAGTTTAGTTTTTAGTAAATAGTCTGGAGAAACATCAGCTTCTCATCAACACGCATAAGTTGCGTTAGTCTGCTCAGGCTGCTATAACAAAATACCACAGGCTGGGTAGCTTATAAACAACAAAAATTTATTTCTCACAGTTCTGGAAGGTGGAAGTCCGAGATCAGGGTGCTGGCGTGGTGGGGTGAGTGCCGGACTGAAGACCTTTCATTGTATCCTTCACGTGGTGGAAGGGGCTAGAAAGCTCTCTGGAGCCTCATTGACAAGGGCATTAATCTCGTTCATGAGGGCTCCACCCTCATGACCTAATCATCTCCAGAAGGGCCCACCTCCTCATACCATTACATTGGGGGTTAGGATTCAGCCTGTGAATTTGAGGGGGACACAGATATTCAGACTTACAGCCGAAGTGCATTTATAGTCTACCAAAGCATGGGATATTAATAGACTCTTTACTAAAAGTCTATAATATAACCCACATAAGAATGCTTCATATTACGTTACAGATGTGCAAAGATGGGTTATAAAAGCTTTTCCTAAATTTAGAAGGTCCTATATCAGTCAGGTTAGACTCAGTTATATCACAGTAACAATCCCCAATCTCAGTGGCTTGGTTCATATCTCACTGACGCTCTGCTTCCGCTTTGTCACTGTCCTCACTCGGGGACGCATGCTGAGTGAGCAGTCAAGCACCTGGAATGTCACCAGTCACCATGGCAAAGACATAAGAGACTGGGGCAGAGCACTCACTGACTCTTCAAGTTTCTGCCTGATGCAACCCATGGCAAGTCTGTTCACATTTCGTTGGCCAAGGAAAAGCACACCACCAAGCTTACCCTCAATGGAGTGGGCACATATGATCCTCCCCAGGAAGGGGAACTACATGTATGTAGTTCAGCCTACCACGGGGTCTCACAAGAAGCTCACCAGTGGAAGATTGAGACATTTGTTATTCACACATGAGCCCTCTGAGCAAGTCACTGAGAAGGAAACTGAGGCTTGGAGAGGTTAGATAATTCGGCCAAGGTCGCATATCTAATGGGTTGTGGAAGCGGATTTCTAAGCCTGACCATTTACGGTCTTAACAATTGCCTCCTAGTAATGGCGCTTCTCAGGCATCTCAGTGTGCTCTGAGTAGACCTCTTCTTACCTCTACCCAGACACCCTCCCACCTCAAAAATAAACTCTTTTCTACCCAGACACCCTCCCATCTCAAAAATAAACTCACATCATCATCTTTCAATTTACTTCTTGCTGGAGCCAAAACCTGACAATTCTCCCCATAGCATTTTCTCCTCTGAGGTCCTATAACAAAATATTTTTCTAGGTTTTCATAATCTCTGCCTGCGCTGCTGTCTCTTCCTTCAGTGGCTTTTTAGGCTGGGTCTGCTTTCTCTGCTTAAAAATGTTTTTTCGTTCATTGGTTTGTTTGTGGAAGAAATTGGTACATTGTAAGGGGAAAACTCACAGTTATGTTACAGCTATAACATTACCACCAAGTCTGTCTTCCTCCTCTCCTTCCACTACAGGGTGACACTATCGGAAATTCCTTAATGGGACCCAGTACTCATTTTATTAATCAATAAATCTATCAAGGAGCACATAGGCTTAGCAATATGGTAGGCACTGTGAAATCCGGGAAAGAGTGTCTGCCACTAATGAGCCAGAAGCATTGGTGAAGAGAAAACACTAATTGTCATTGCAAAGACACTTAGCTGAGATGGTGGCACACTGTGTGGTGTGCTCAGCTTGACTGTTACATATATGAACATACACATACAAATTGTCCCTTTGCCTTATGCTAAAATAAATTTGAGATAGCTTACAAATGTGCACCCATGACAGCAAGTTTAAGACACTAAATAAGAATAATGAGGAATAGGGGAGATAAGTGTTAGACTAGGTAAGACTACTATACAAAATGCATCCTACGAAACACAGTACAATTAGTGGAGGTGCCCCAAATTTGACTCTACAATTTTTGGAAGCCAGCAGGAGAATTCAATTTATGGATATTTTTGAGGAATATTTGATGAAAAGTTAAATGTTGTTACTTTAATCACTTACTACCAACACAAGCTTAATATCAACCAACATGGGCACTGAAATCAAAGCCAATATTTGTTACCAGGTGCCATGCACAGTGTGTGGGCCTCAACAAAGCATAAACAGAAGTGAAAGGTGAATTAAATCAAGATATCCTAAACAGAATTTTCTTTAAGTATGGTGGAAAAAAAGATGATTTATGGAAGAGTTAACTGTTCCTTATGGGAATATCATATTTTTTTAAAAGAATGTTCATCGTGAATCCTGTTTCTATCCACACAGTCATAGCTCCTGCGGGATAACAGCCACTCCTCCACTTTTCCCTGTTCTAGTTACCGGTAAATGTGAAGAGAAAGAGAAAGTCTGTCCGGGGTCAGCGTCTCCTGGCTTCTGTTGATTGTCCTTCTGCTCTTCTCTTCTTGCAGTATTTCCGAGGAAGCCTCTGTCAGAGCCACCAGACCTACTGCCTGAATTACTCAGCGGCTGTCTTTTATCTTGAGAGCCTGAGGCAGAGAGATGACTTTGGAATTTATTTAAAAGTAAAGTACCATTTTCTTTTCTATTTTTCCTGAGACTTTTTGGGTATAACAGGTGCTGGGAATTATTATACTCAAATGAAATGGGAGACGAAAAATAATCAACCATGCATTTTAACTACAAATTTGCTTTCCTCATAAATACATGGTCGACTGCACACTGAGGAATTTTAAATGGTGCACATCTGGAAACATTATATCATAATATCCCTCCTGAAATTTTGGCTGAGGCTTAAAAATGTTTTATTTGTTCATTGGTTTTTTTTGTGGAAGAAATTGGTACATTGTAAGGGGAAAACTAGCATAACAACCGAGACTTGGTGACTAGAAGTTGGCTCTTGTAGGATTTGGTCCCAGCAAGATCCTATTGCACAAAAGCTTGGAGCACCATTTACATTGTATTCTATGTGAATGGCCCCCCCTAGAGTACATTACAGAGCGCAACGTAAATGTTGCCCCTGGAGTTGTACAATATGGCGGCAAGGGTTCAAAGCGTTAGAACAAGGAGTTTCTGCTAGAGACCCTCAGTATTTGCCAATAAGCAAACTGGGAAACAATTTTTCTTGACTTCTCTAGTTTCTTTGACCCCTCATTTGACATTTCCTTAGTCTGCACTGTGCTTTTCAGTATTATGCCAGAGCTCTTTTGTGTGATCCTGAGAAAATGGTCCAAGCCCTTCCAGAAAACCAGTTCTTCCTGAAGCTGTGACAAACCCCTGCCAGAGCATCCCCCCAGAGGTGTGAGAGGAAAGGCTGCCATGGTTCCCAAGGACTCAGCTGTGAATCAGTGCGCCCTTGCTATGGCCCAGCTGTGCCGGGAAGACTGAATGTGGCATGGATGAGAAAGGAGGAATGATCTTGGGCAAGACTTGACCTTATTTTTGTAGATTCAGCCTTTCAGTGTTTTCTTTCCAATTCAAACGAAAAACTGAAAGCTCATTTGATTTTCAAATGTATGAATAATCCTGTTGCAAAACTTTTCCCTGGAAGCTGATGGGTTAGACTCCTAGCCAAGCCCCCAAACTGAGGAGAATCCATGTCCATTTCTCTCCCTTCCAAGCTGTGACAGAGATGAATTTAACAGGGCTCAGCCACCATTTTAAAAAAACACTGGAAAATCCCATATCAATTGTGACATAGAAGAATGGTTTACATTTATATATGAAATATGTACAGCATCTATGCTATTTAGGGAGAAGAAGTAGAAGATGCAACGTTGTAATGATAACATATGATACTTTTATAATGCATAACGCTTTACCAGGCACTTTCTCAAACATCTCTTTTAATCCTTAGCACAAACCTATGAAGTTGATTACATTGTCTCCAAGTGTCCCTGAGGCTCAGAGAGGTTATGTGACTTTTGCAAGGTCACGTGGCCAATAGGTGGCAAAAAAGAACCTGGATAAAGATCTTGAGGCAAAAATATTCAATGCTCTTTACACCAAAACTATTTCCAACTCCTCAGGGCTATTTTCCATTAGCAGAGAACGTTAGCATCATGAAACAAAGGTGAGGGCTCAGGGAGGGACACTGGAAGAATTGAAGGTGAATCTGCCTTCCACAGCCCCATCATACAGAATAAAAGCATCATCGTATATAATTAATAATAATATTATTATTATAACATATAATGCTTATAATATATAATAGATAATAAAATAATAGTAATAAGGTGACTGGTTCTTCACCCCTTGCTATGGCCAGGCACTGTGCTGCATGCTGGTCTTCTATGATCTCTTTGTCTACACAATAACCCTGTGGGATTTGCTATTATCCCCATTTTTCAAGAGCTTCAACAAATTAGGCAACTTGCTGAAAGATACAGTTGTTCAAGGGCAGAGGCAGGATTTAAATTCAGACCCGTCTGAAGCTGACGTTCATTCTCCTATTATGCTCTGATAAACAATGTTCTTGGGGGACTCAAATCTGTGTGTCATTTTATGGGCTGCCTGGAATTGGGCTATGAATGCACTGGGATGAATTTACCCTCCATACCATGGGGAGCTGGGCTTTACGAATCTCTGTACACCATCTTGACGCACATTGACAGGAGGAGAATTCTCCCCGCTCTTGCAGAGACAGTTGAAATGATGCAGAGAAAGAGACTGGGAACTTTGTACCAAGAATCTTAGCGTGGTTCAATTAACAATTGCTAAGAACTCGACCTACCATGGACTGAGTGTTCCAGACGTGTCAGGCACTGTTCGAAGCACTACTTGTGGATTATCTCATTACTGTTCGAAGCACTACTTGTGGATTATCTCATTGAAACCTCTCACCTGCCTGATGAGGTGATTACTCTTGTTATTCACATTTCACAGATGAGATTTAGAGAGCTTACGTCAATTTCCCAGAGATTCTTCCCCAGCCCAATGTTGTGTCCCACCAAGACAGATTTAAGAGGAGAACGTTTTTATCTGGGCCCCTTAATTCTATTCACTGTTCCTCTAAACACATTGGATATTTATTATAAAACCAAAGCAGCCTCCACTGTTCCAGACCCATCCATGAAAAGGCCTTTTATGTCCGGTCTGTCTTGACAGAGATGTTCTTTTCTTTCCTAATGGATCTGAAAAATAAAGCCAATTGAGAGATGAAAGAAAAACTTATAACTACTTTTAGAATCATCAAATAGCTTTTTTCTTTCTTTTGAGGCCTTCCAAAACACTAAAAGCTTCCGATATCCCTGCCCGGATCTTTGTCTAAACTATTTACCACTGATGCTTCTTTCCTGTTTGATATCTGGGGGAGATTGAGTGTTTTCACATTTACCCTGAGTACCAACGGGTGCTGGCAGCCAGAGCTGTTCCGAACAGCATGGAAATTTGGGGCAGTGGGCGAGGCCTGAGTATTTTGAGGAAATCCCTAACTGCCACTAAGAAATCAGTTACTGGACCTCCCAGCCACCCCAGCTGGATTGCTGTTGCCAATGAGTCAGCATGGAAATCAGCCACTAAGGCCACAGTCTAAGGCCTCTCGCCACCATTTCTTTCCACTCTGCCACTCCTACCCTTTCCACATCTGCAGTCCCTACTTCCTTCTCCGTCCCTTCCAACCCCGATGAGAATCACAGCCATTTTGAGCTGGATGAGAATTCAGAGGTGATCTAGAACCTTCCACCATTTTACAGGAGACGAATCTGAGGTATGGAGAAGGGGAGGCGGTCCCTCAGCAAGCCGTGAAGCCTGGCTTCTAAAGCTCCATCCACCATGCACCCCTGCCTCCACTTTCATGGCCTTCCATCCGTATGTGGGGAAGTGGAAAAGATTGTATCTAGCAGAATTCCTGTGGGGAACAGCCCTGGATGTTTTTAAAAGAAATGTTTTGACAAAGTTCCTAGTGTAAGAGGGTGAGAGCCCCAGGGACGTGGTCAAGCTGTGAAAGACAAGTGCAAATTGCTAAGCATGAGGCTAGGAGAGAAAGGGAGAAAGTTGGAGGGGGGAAGAGAGAGAGAAAGAGCTCTCTTTTTCCAAAGAAGAGAATGAAGCCAGCAAAATGGGGGAGGGGCTGTGTATTTGACCCCTCCTCACAACTCAAAATCTTCAGTAAAATAAATACATACACTCATACAACATTTGGCTTGCGTGAGTTTACAGTGGAAATCAACATAGGAAACCAACAAAAGGGCTGTTTGGCATTTGGCCCATGTTGTTCAGAGAAGAAACTGTATGTGCAAACAGGAGTTCGGGGGCCAGAGGAAGCCACTGGAATCTCATTGAGATTCCGTGAGTTTGTAAATATCTAAGGGAGGGCTTTGGACTTGGTGGGATTTCAGCCGGTTAGACCTAGATCTCAGAAATGCTAGGGCTGACACCTGAGCATAAAAGATGTATGACGTTGTCTTTGGGGAAGCAAAAGGGGCCTTCTGCAGTGTACCTTGGCCCTTCTGAGGCTGGCCCTGAGTGGTCTGGGTCATGAGGCAAAGGAGTTAACCTGGGCCTGGACTGCGCCTGGAAGAGAAAAAAGAGGCAATAGCCTACAGCAAGAAAAATATTTAGTGTAAGGGCAGGATCCCTTTCGAGCTGAATGCGGGATCAATGAGGAGTGAGTAGGTGAGAGAAGAGAACACACTCCCTAATAATACTTCTTGATGCACCTCTGTGCATAGCAGCCAGAGTCCTGGTTCCGTGCATCATGTGTCACCTGCATAAAAGCAGGGCCCCCTCAGGGTCAAGACAGTGTCACATTCAAGAAACAGTCCAGCAAATGAAACAATTGTAGGAGCGATTCTCGTATTTACTTGTATTTCTCAAATACTGTTTACGGAAATCTAATGTATAACCCCTGGCAATACTTGCTATTCCTTTCCCTGTCTTCCCCAGTGCTTACACAGCCTGCAACAGCCTCTTTCTCCAACTCTCCCTGTTGAAAATTGCCTGTCTTGATTCCTCTCCTCTTCCGTCTCTGCTCTAGATCATGTGGATCCATTTAGCCTTTTCAACTTCTATTTTCATTTTCTCTTCATTACCCTGATTCCCTTCCTTCAACAAAGGAGTCAAGGAACTGACTCAGCAAGCAAAAATCCTTCCTTTTCCCTTCTACCCCTCCAGTTTGGATGCTCAATTCTCCTAACTGTGCACCACAACAAGGATGAGAACAGAGCTGGTGAAACCACGAATCTCCCCTGAGGAACGGGGAGAAGACAATGGGCAAAATTAAACTCAAGTGAGCAGGATAAACAAGGCTGGAACACGTATATTAATACATCTTATCACCGCCACTGATGGAACATGGACTCTCGAGGGGATTTAACAAATTTCAAACTTTTCCTGTGCATCCAAATCTTGATAAATTTCCCCATTTAGGAGAATTGAGTGATGGTGTTACAGACAATGCTGATGACTGCTGCTTTCACCACCATTGCTGGGAAGGCAAGACA